GGGAAACTCTCCACAACTGCCCTATCACCAATTGGGAGTTGTGGGGGTGGAGTGTCCAATGGTACAAAATACCCAGGCAGGTGCTTAGTTTTGGTGGGGCTGATGGTAAGGTCCCCACCTCTTAGTGGTTAGCTCAAGGTTCAGCAGCAGCGCCTCCAACTCCTTCTCTGAGTGAGCAGCAATAACCAGATCATCGGCATACATAACGTGGTTGAGCAAGAGAGCCATCCTTTGACTGCACCGGGACATCGATCAGCCTCCCATTGTATCTGTACGTATCTGTACGTATCTGTACCAGATGGAAATTCCTCCGGTACAGCCATCGAATGAATCACAAACTACGTGGTCGAAATAGATGTTAAATAATGTGGGAGCCAGAAGACATCTCTGTCGCACTCCAAGGTGAACAGGGAATGGCTCCTACTCCCGGCCACGTAGTTTTACCCGGGCCTGCTAACCATCATGATCGTGAGCAGAGGGTCAGGGACTCTGAAAGCACAAAGAATAACCCAGAGCCCAGGCCTACTGATGGTATCATAGGCCTTGACCAGGTCAATAAATCAGAGGTTTAGGTTTTGTTTGAATTCCCTACACCTCTGCTGAAGCAAACGGACAGAAAATATGGCATCTGTGCAGGACCGCCCTTTCCTGAAACCGCATTGGGGCTCCGCAAGCCTCTCCTCAGCGTGCCTGGCAAGGCGATGTTGAATAATCCTTGCCAGGACCTTTCCCTGCATACTGAGGAGTGAGATGCCCCTGTAGTTGTTACAGTCTGTGCGGCCCCCCTTCTTAAAGAGGGGGATCACCAGGGCATCCTTCCAATCTTGCGGAACCCGTCCAGTGGTCCAGACTGTTGTTATGATGTCATGTAGGGCAGACTGTGCACAAACAACACCCTCCCTCAGCATTTCGCTTGGGAGGTCATCTCTGCCCGGTGCCTTTCCTGGTCTCAGACTCTGGATCGCCTTCAGTACTTCCTCAACAGATGGCACCTCAGTCAGCCACTCACAGGGGGTGACTTCTTCCAATATTTGAGACACCGCAGCCTCAAGCAGGGTCACCCCCACTTTGTCCCACGATGTTTTCCAGGCTGAGGGATTTCCCCTCCCCCAGGATCTCAGACACACAACACAACAACAGCATGCCCGGCTCTGCTGGCGAGACGCTGAACGTGAAAATCACTCGAGTGCTTTGCTTGTGTTGGCACCAACGCGGCTGACAGACCCGCGCACACCACACACAGTCACCGTCCCCAAAGCGACAGTGGGAACACCAAGAATTGATTTCGTTTGGGAGTGACGGAGGGTCGCGGAGGGCAGTTGATGACAGATCAGTGTTACGTGGGCCCCCCCAAAACCACGTCATGGGCCCCCCCAAACCCACGACGTGGGGCCCCCCAAACCCACAACGCACGGCCACGCGGGGTCGTCCCCCCCCCTTCATCAACACATTCTTAGCCACAGGCTCAGAGGCTCCAATTTGCCCCAAATGTCTCAAGAAAGGTGTCCCCAGAGCCAGATCAGGATGCCGACGATCCACGCCTCGAGCGAGCCACACTCGGGGGAGCCGAGCGAGCCACACTCGGGGGAGCCGACGCCTTTCCTTGGAAGCCACCGAGCAACTGCAAACAGCAATTGAGCCGAGCCGTGCGAGAGGGGCGAGCCAGGGGCGAGAGCTTGCGCCACGACCCCCACGACCTCACCCCGCCCTTGAGTGGCGTGGCCACGGAGGGCAGCAGCAGCAGCAGCAGCGCGAGGCGCCGTGTTTATGTTGAAGCGCGAACAGGTCGGGGTGGTTATTGGTGGTGCCGCGCCCTGCGTGAGCAGCCACATCCAGCCGCCAGCCGTTGTAGAGGTAGAGAGAGAGAGAGAGGTAGGAGAGAGAGAGGGGGAGAGGTAGGGGAGAGGAGCGGTAGGGGAGAGGTAGGGGAGAGGGAGAGAGAGGTAGGGGAGAGGTAGGGGAGGGGGAGAGCGGTAACCTCCACGTCAAAAGGTCCCACCCAGGTGCGGCGTTTTGGATTTGCAGGGTGGGAGGAAAGGAACCCTCCTAGACGGTTCACAAACCGGGACGGGCGGACACTGCAGCACTCCGTGCCGTTCAGTGGCCGATCCCCCCCCCTTCTCACCCCCCCTTCTCACCCCCCCCAATTCCCACCCCCCACCCCACCCCCCCCTACGGCAGGAGGTACTGCTGCGCATTCAGTCGCAGTCCCTGCACGACTGCAAGTTCTAAACAACAACAACAACACCACCACCACAATCTCAAGATACCCATTTAGACTGGCACGAGGAATCCGATGAACTACAAAAGCTATTTTTGTTTTCACCGGATGCCCAGTTAGGGGGCTCGGGGTAAGAACGCTACTACAACAACAACAACACAATGCTAAACACACACTAGCAGTGTAAAGTACATGAAAAAGTAAACAAATCACCCAAACCAAACAAACGACAACTAAACCATCCGGCATCCGACCCAGGCAACCCCCACTCCGAGGTGCTGACCTCTTGTTCAGAAGCGCCCTGGCCATCGACAATGAGAGCCGCTCAACACATTGACCCCATCATTTGGACATTTCTAGCGCCGCGATAATCGAAATAATCTTCTTGGTTCTTTCGGTAAAGTCACGTAGACGGAAAATAATAAAAATAAAACATAATAAAATAATACATTTCTCACGACGTTTCGGCCACAACGCGAGCAGCCGTCCTCAGGTGAAGAACAGGTCTGTCGGGAAGACAGCGCCTGGGGTGTTTCATTCAGACGCTGTCTTCCCGACAGACCTGTTCTTCACCTGAGGACGGCTGCTTGCGTTGTGGCCGAAACGTCGTGAGAATTATTTTATAATGTTTTATTTTTATTATTTTATTATTTCCATTCTACGTGACTTTACCGAAAGAACCAAGAAGATGAATCCCTGCAGTCACGAAAGCTTTAAATCGAAAAAAAATCTAAATAATCTCCGTGCCATGTTTCTCACAATGTCAGCATCGGTATTTAAAGAGTGGCAGCAGCAGGAGGAGGAGGAATCCGATGAGCTGTAAAGCTCTTTCGCAGGACGTTCCAGTTTAGGGACACGGGTTAACAACAACACAGCACCAAAAGAAAAACCACGATAGCCATGTGACATAGGGGGTCGTCCATAAATGACGTCACGCGATTTGGGACGATTTTTGCCCCCCCCCCCCTTCGTCACACGGCGCCACAAAAAGTCAGACCCCCCCCCCCTCAAATATGACGTCACAAAGCTCTGCCCCCCCCCAAAAATAAAACATGCTTCAAATCGCTTTAAACTATTGTCATTGTAGTTCGTATTTAATGTGGCGCTGCACTCTGATGTTGTAGGAGGAAATATTTATCAAACAGTATATTTAATTAGGTAGAACGTGTTGTCTACATTTATTTAAAAGTTGCGCATTTTAATGTGACGTCACATTTCTCACCCCCCCCAGGTGTGTGACGTCATTTATGGACGGCCCCCTAGAAGACGAGGCAAAAATCGAAATCGCCCGCGACAAACATTCAGACGACGAAGCCATCCAACCATCCCCGCACCACACAGAGGGGCAAACCCCAGCGCGAGACTTGTTCACTTTCTACATGTCGCAGGGGGCCTGGGGCCCACCGCTCACCACGAGCTAGAGAAGAACCTGCGGCTCCAAGGGCACTCACAACGCACCCCTCACTCCGCTGCCCCCCCCCCCCCCCCTGAACATCACCACACGTGCCCCCCCCCCTGAACATCACCACACGTGCCCCCCCCCCCTCCTGAACCTCACCAGCCCACAAACACCACCAGCACCCCTGCCCGCACTCCACAAACACAACAATAAACTCACTTCAAGTGGAGCGAGCAAGACGAGGCGGCTGCTGCTAAACCTTCCGTCGTGGCCCACAGTCAGACGGGGCTCGGGACATCTTGGGAGATGTCGTTTGCGTCTTACTCGCTGGCCGCAAGACGCCGCTTTCATCGCTGTTGACCCCACGCGGTTTAGCCCGTATGCTTGTGCGGGGAAATTGAGTTATCAGGTTCACACGACGTACAGCTGTTTCAATGCGGGCAGCTACAATTGTGTCTCTCCCTTGTGATGGGACTTTGTGGGATGAACGTTGAGATTTACAAATGGCACGGGGTGATCGACAAGGTTGTCTGTCGTAAGCTCGGGGGGGGGGGGGGCACTGACAAAAGAAGGGGTTGACAGCGATGGTGCTCTTGGGGTCTTTTTGTTCGCTCCGGCCCTCCGTGCCAAGTATTTATTTTAGATCAAGACGGGGCCTTCAGCACCACCACCACCAACACTTCACACAGAGTAGGATAAAGCCACGCATGCCACGCGAATGGCGAGTGGGAACAACGTTCCATGCTCACCATCACCATCAGTACCCAATTGCAGCGTGGCAAGTAGGACACGCAGTGGATCACACGTGACTGCCTTGCCGCTGCTGCTGTTGTTGTTGTTGTTTGGCGGCGGCGGTGGTGGTGGTGGTACCGTCGGAGTGGCGATGAATATTCTAGCAGCAGGAGGCACGCCCCGACTCCCCCTCGCCACTAACAACCACCACCACCACAAAGATCCCCTCGCTCCGCGGAGCCGTAACAGGCTGCCGAGACGGGTGTGGACAAGTGCTGTTAGCAGCAGCAGCAGCACCGCTCGCCTTTGTCTCCCCGAAGTCAGCGATGTTTTAACGACAGCAGCAACACGCAGGATACGGCACTCATTTGAGGCCGAGTCGACCTAGGGGGAGGCGGGTCCCACAAACCGGTTCTTCAGACATTCGTCACCGCGACGGCCGCGTTCGCGTTGTCCGCGAGCGAGAATCTAACGAATCGGGGTCGCCGGATTCGCAGGAGCGCAGTGCGCCAACCGTTGCGCCACCGCTCCCCCCACACACAGAGACGGACGCGATTAATAGCCACCGCCATCCACCATCGCAGTCGTCATTAATTAAAGACGGGTCACGCAACGCAGAGGAGACAGAGAGAGAGAGCCCGGGGTTACCTTCAGCAGCAGCAGTAGCAGGAACAAGCCAGGCCCCGACGCTGTTGCTGTAACGAAACGGAGAAAGCCCTCCTCCCTCCACTCCCCTTCTCTCGTTCTCTGAAGGAGTAAAATGTGTGTGCGTACGATGTGTTCTGTCGTGCTGGACTGGGCTCTCTCTCCTCTCTCCCTCTGCCTCGTCTCTCCCGTCGCCAATTCGTGGTTGCCGTGTGGCTGGGCACGCGCCCGCGCGGATAGGATGGCCGGGGATAGGTTTACCTGCCCACAGCGCGGATTGGCTGCCTCCTTCAATTACCAAGCCACCCACCCCACCCACCAGCCCACCTCCATCTCTCTCCGCCCACCACCGCCACTCCACCCACCCGCCTACGTAACGCCAGCGAGCCAGGGAGGTTACGAGGCGAGTGAGGAATGCGGGTCTCCCAGTGTTAATCACACACACGCGGCATTCCAATGGCACACACACACAGTATCACAATTACTCACTGTAATCCAAAAACGCACATCAGTCCAATCGCACACAACAATCACATCACATACGTCATGCCGATGATACAGTTTTACAATTACTCAGTCATCCATTCACACACGGCGTTCCGATCACACACGGCATTCCAAACACACAGTGTTCCAAATACACACAGTAATAGTATCACACATACAGTAATAATATCACACATACAGTAATAGTATCCCACACACAGCATTCCAATCACACACACAGTAATGGTATCACACACACAGTAATAGTATCACACACACAGTAATAGTATCATCAACACAGCATTCCAAACACACACACAGTAATAGTATCACACACAGTAATAGTATCACACACACAGTAATAGAATCACCCACACAGCATTCCAAACACACACACACACAGTAATAGTATCACACACACACAGTAATAGTATCACACACACACAGTAATAGTATCACACACACAGTAATAGTATCACACACACAGCATTCCAATCAACCCCGGATAAATTCTACTCGTGCGACTGAGAATCACTCTGTCCCGTACAGACGAAATACGTTGCTGTATATGTGGAGTTTGCGTCTCTCTCTCTCATCATCACGAGATGGCTAGGAGATGTTAACTACCTCGCCTGGTAGGCAGGAGGTCGTGGGTTCGGTCCCGACCCTGACGCCTGCTGCTGTATATGTGGAGTTTGCGTCTCTCCCTTCCCGTGGTCCCGTGGATTTTTCTCCGGGTCCTCCGGTTTTTCCCTCCACATTTAGAATCAACGTCACGCGTTGAGAGTCGATGTCTGCTCTACATTGCCACACGGTAACGATGATGACGACGAAAAGCCACCGCTTCGTTCAGCTGTCATTTGTGATGGCCAGGTCGCTTCTGAACAAGAGCTGCATAGCTCAGTGATGCCTCCTCGCCTGGTAAAACAAAATAAACACATTCCTCCTGCGGAGGGAGCTGGTAGGAACGGCGGCGTGGTGTATTCCGCAAATATGACCGATTATGAGGGCGGGCACAAGCCGGCGTGAGTAGGTTAAACGTTGAATTTTATAAGGGCACCACGGGGTGACCAGCCCCTCCCCTCCCCACCCAGCCCCTCCCCACCCAGCCCCTCCCCTCCTCACCCAACCCCACCCAGCCCCTCCCCACCCTCCCCACCCAGCCTCTCCCCACCCTCCCCACCCAGCCCCTCCCCACCCTCCCCACCCAGCCCCTCCCCACCCTCCCCACCCAGCCCCTCCCTGCACGACGGACGGACACAACAATCCCCTGTGGGCTGGTGTAACCAGGAGGTTCCTACCAGTATTCGTTTGCTGTGTCGCCTTCCCGTGGCGAGCCATGTGGCACAGCTCCTCCTCGTCGCCCACTCACGGGGAGGGAGTCTCACAGCATCTTTGTGTGGTCCACCAACCCCCGCCCCCACGCAGTGCTGGGCTACAGGCGTGCGGCGCTACCCCCCCCCCCCCCCCCCGCTTCGTTTGGAACACAGTTCCTGAGCAACGGGCTCAGAGGCCCCAAAGACGCGAAGCAGCCAGCAACGAACAGCACTAAGTTCCAAAAGATACGAGTGTGATACAGTACTTATGTGTTTTATCAATCGAGCGGGTGGCGTGCGTCGCCCACACACTCCGTCGGAGACGAGGTGGTAGCAGGAGCCACCGTCCTCCACTTTTATTGTTGTCCAGTTCACGCCACCACTCGGGACCCCGAGTGGGATGCCCGCACTTACGAACGCCCGCACTTACGAACGCCCTTACTTCACGAACGCCCGCACTTACGAACGCGCTCACTTACGAACGCCCGCACTGACGAACCAACTTCCATGGAAGATTTGTGTGTGTGTATTTTTACATCGACTTAAAACGCGAACTCTCGTTTGCAAATCGAACCGCCGCACTATTTTGTTCAGCTGAGCGATCCTCCGTGAGATGTAAATGAGTTGGCCTTGCGCTGGGAGTGAGTGTTTGTGTGTGTGTGTGTATTTCAATAATACTGTGCTCCGACTTATGAACCGTTCGACTTACGAACGGGCTCGGAACTAATTGTGTTCGTAAGTCAAAGACTGTCCGTACCAGTTAAAGAGGCCAACTGAGATAGATAACCTTTATCGGGAGTGAGCTGGCTATCACAAATGACGGCTTAACGAAAGTGCCTTCTAATGTGAAATCTCAGGCAGCGGCAGCAGCAGCTCAATACTCTGAACGTGTGATGTTGATTCGAACTGTGGAGGGGAAAAACCGGAGGGAGGAACCGGAGAAAAATCCACGCGACCACGGGGAGAGAGAGAGAGACGCAAACTCCAAATATACAGCAGCTGGCGTCAGGGTCGCGATCAAACCCACGGACCTCCTGCATACCAGGCGAGGGAGTTAACATCTCCTAGCCACCGTGATGATGATGAGAGAGAGACACACGCAAACTCCAAATATACAGCAGCTGGCGTCAGGGTCGCGATCAAACCCACGGACCTCCTGCATACCAGGCGAGGGAGTTAACATCTCCTAGCCACCGTGATGATGATGAGAGAGAGAGACACACGCAAACTCCAAATATACAGCAGCTGGCGTCAGGGTCGCGATCAAACCCACGGACCTCCTGCATATCAGGCGAGGGAGTTAACATCTCCTAGCCCAATTTGTTGGCACGGATAACCAAGAGGATGTATCCCCAGATCACGCGCCGCATGAATCACAGGGAACCAGGACCACAACTTTATTTCTCAGTCAGTGCCGTGCAATCATCCATCTGCCTGCGGTAACAAAAATCCTTAAAGCAACACCCGGTACCAGATTTCGGTTACAAATCAATTCTTGGCACACCCAAAACACACACACACACATACCATGCCAAGGCCCGTATTGTATCGGGTCCAACCCGGACAGGTGGCAACCCGAGGGTGGGTGGGTGAATGAGTGGGTAAGCAAGAGTCTGAGTGGATGGGTGAGCGAATTATTGGTTTGAGTGAATGAATGGGTTAATGAGTGAGTGGATGGGAGGGTGAATGGTTGAGTGGTAGGGTGAATTAATGGGTGAATTAGTGAGGAGGTGGGTGGACGGGTGGGTGTCTGAATGTATCAGTGAGTGAATAAGTGAGTGGGTGAGTGAGTGGATGAGTTGGTGTTTGAGTGGATGAGTGAGTGAGTCGATGGGTGGATCTTTGGGTGTTTGAATGAGTGAGTGGGTGAGTGAGTGGATGAGTGAGTGAGTCGATGGGTGTTTGAATGAGTGAGTGGATGAGTGGGTGTTTGAGTGGATGAGTGAGTGAGTCATGGGTGGATCTTTGGGTGTTTGAATGAGTGAGTGGGTGAGTGAGTGGATGAGTGGATGAGTGAGTGAGTCGATGGGTGTTTGAATGAGTGAGTGGATGAGTGGGTGTTTGAGTGGATGAGTGAGTGAGTCATGAGTGGATCTTTGGGTGTTTGAATGAGTGAGTGGGTGAGTGAGTGGATGAGTGGATGAGTGAGTGAGTCGATGGGTGTTTGAATGAGTGAGTGGATGAGTGGGTGTTTGAGTGGATGAGTGAGTGAGTCGATGGGTGGATCTTTGGGTGTTTGAATGAGTGAGTGGGTGAGTGAGTGTATGAGTGGGTGTTCGAGTGGATGTCAAGCGTGGGTGGGTGGGTGAGTGGGTAAGGCGATAGGGTCTGCCACCTCCGTCACGGATTGCATCGGGACAGGTGGCAACCGCTCTGAGCCCACGTAACCACGCATCCGAGGACGCTACGGGTGGCCGGGGGCGACCTCGGCCAAGTGCCGTGGCGGGTCGCTCGCTCGGCTTAAATACCGAGCCGATTTAGATCTTTTATTGCAGCACACGCACACACGCGCACACACACGCACACACGCGCACGCACACACACGCGCACACACACACACACGCAGACACACGCAGACACACACACGCGCACACACGCGCACACACACACGCAGACACACACACACGCAGACACACACGTAGACACACACACACGCAGACACACACTCACGCAGACACACACGTAGACACACATGTTCACACACACGCAGACACACACACGTAGACACACACACACGTAGACACACACGTAGACACACACTCACGTAGACACACACACACGCGTAGACACACACGTAGACACACACTCACGTAGACACACACACGTAGACACACACACACGTAGACACACATGTTCACACACACGTAGACACACACTCACGTAGACACACACGTAGACACACACACACGTAGACACACATGTTCACACACACACGTAGACACACACACACACACGTAGACACAAGCAGACACACACACGTTCACACACATGCAGACACACACACACGCAGACACACACACACGTAGACACACACGTAGACACACACACGTAGACACACACACACGACACACACACACGCAGACACACACACACGTACACACACACACGTACACACACACACGTACACACACGTAGACACACGCGAGCGCTTATCTACTCCGCAGATTGATGAGCGTGCGTCACTGCGGTGGTGCACGAATTGGCGCTGCGAGTGAGTTTTAGTGCGAGGCGCGCGCCACCCGCGCGGGCCGCTGTCGCCCTTCCAAGACCCCCCCCCCACCGGGCAAGCCTTGGACAAGCGGTGACCCCCACCCCCCCACCGGACAAGCCTTGGACAAGCGGTGACCCCCACCCCCCCACCGGGCAAGCCTTGGACAAGCGGTGACCCCCACCCCCCCCCCGGAGCCACTCCGCGCGGGC